CCTTTCTTGACCGTCATGTTTTGCCTCTTTGTAGCGACATGGAGAACCGGCGAGTTGTTCAGAAAGAGGAAGGAGAGGCTTTTGCCCGGGAACATGGCATGGTTTTCATGGAGACATCAGCAAAGACATCAGCCAACGTGGAAGAGGTGAAGAATAAAAAAAAACGTTAGAAACTCTGCAGGGTTTTTTGGGGGGGGGGTTAGGGAAAACCCTCGGAAATCCTGGCATAACTTCTTCTGAACCTGTCAGCCAGATGGTGGAGGATCTGGAAGGCTGTCCCTTGTTTGTGGTCCCTTTCTTAGTTTCAAGTTTCTCCACTGATACTAGATGAATAGGAGTCTATCCTACCAGATATTACACTCATCTTGAATTTATTTTTTCTTTCTGTTTGCTGCTCTCAGGCCTTTCTCAACACAGCTAAAGCCATCTACAGAAAGATCCAGCAGGGTGAACTGGACATTTCCAATGAGGTGAGTCGTTGGACGGAAGCCTCTCTCGGTCTCCGTCAAACCCGTAGCCAGAAACTCTGTAATGGGGCAGATTTAGGCAAGAAAACCCAAATGTACAGTTATAGTATAGGGGGTGCCTTCCTCAATAGTAGTAACTGTGAGAGGGACCTCGGAGTCCTAGTGGACAATCACTTAAATATGAGCCAGCCGTGTGCTGCAGCTGCCAAAAGAGTCAACACAGTGCTGGGCTGCATTAACAGAGGGATAGAATCAAGATCACGTGAAGTGTTAATACCACTTTACAATGCCTTGGTAAGGCCACACTTGGAATACTGCATCCAGTTTTGGTCACCACAATGTAAAAAAGATGCTGAAACTCTAGAAAGAGTGCAGAGAAGAGCAACAAAGATGATTTGGGGACTGGAGGCTAAAGCATATAAGGAACGGCTGCTGCAATTGGGTCTGTCAATGAAGAGAAGGACGAGGGGGGACATGATAGCAGTGTTCCAATATCTCAGGGGCTGCCACAAAGAAGAGGGAGTCAAGCTATTTTTCAAAGCCCCTGAAGGCAGGACAAGAAGCAACGGATGGAAACTAACCAAAGAGAGAAGCAACCTTGAACTAAGGAGAAATTTCCTGACACAATTAAACAGTGGAACAACCTGCCTCCAGAAGCGGCGAATGCTCCAACACTGGAGGTTTTTAAGAAGAGACTGGACAGCCATTTGTCTGAAATGGTATAGGGTTTCCTGCCTGAGCAGGGGGTTGGACTAGATGACCTCCAAGGTCCCTTCCAACTTTTATTGTTGTTGTTGTTGTTGTTGTTGTTATTATTATTATTATTATTATTATTATTATTATTATTATTATTATTATTATTATTATTATTCAGCCGGAGCCTTAGCAGAAGGAGCTGGAAGTTTGAAAAATTTCATGCGGCGTTAACGCAATTTATCTTTAAAAAACGGTTCAGATCACAGTCAGTGGCTTGCACTCACTAGAATCAAGATTTTTGATATTTCCATACAGTACTCAATCCTCCTACCAAGTTTCTGCAGACTGACACTAGTAATGCAGAATAACAAAGTTGAAGGGACCTTGGAGGTCATCTAGTCCAACCCCCTGCTCAAGCAAGAAACCCTGTACCATTTCAGACAAATGGCTGTCCAATCTCCTCTTAAAAATCTCCAGTGTTGGAGCATCCACAACTTCTGGAGTCAAGGCGTTCCACTGATTAATTGTTCAAAACTGTCAGGAAATTCCTCCTTAGTTCTAGGTTGGTTCTCTCCTTGATTAGTTTCCACCCGTTGCTTCTTGTTCTGCCTTCATTTATGAGGCTTTCCCAGGTTCAGTTACATCGGACTTCAAACTCCAGATAGACAGATTCCAATCTGGTAGGCTTCCTTGCCTTCGCCAGTTGAAGAATCCTATGTAAGAATGCTACTACATTGAAAACAGCAATAGCAATAAGCACTTAGACCAGGGGTAGTCAACCTTGGCTCTTTTATGACTCGTGGACTTCAACTCCCAGAATTCCTGAGCCAGCTAAGCTGGCTCAGGAATTCTGGGAATTGAAGTCCATGAGTCATAAAAGAGCCAAGGTTGACTACCCCTGACCTAGACTTATACACCACTTCACAGTGCTTTACAGCCCTCTCTAAGCAGTTTAGAGAGTCAACATCTTGCCCCCAACAATCTGGGTCCTCATTTTACCGACCTCGGAAGGATGGAAGGCTGAGTCAACCTTGAACCGGTCAGGGTTGAACTACTGGCAGTCAGCAGAATTAGCCTGCAATACTGCATTCTAACCACTGTGCCACCACGGCTCTTGTGCATCCAATTTTGAAGCCAAAGTAGAGATATATTAATGCACTATTAATGCACATTGCTTGTAGTTTATGAGAATTCATTAACTTGTTTTCCAAAAAAAAGGCGTAGATAAGAGAATGAACACTTTTCTAGGTGGGGTAAAGTATATGCTTAAGGTGGTCAGGGCAACTATGTTTTAAATGCTTACATGGATAAATCCTTTCTCTTCTCTCCTTCCAGGGACATGGGATCAGGATTGGCTCTAAACAACCAGCAGTTATTCAGGCTGGATCATCCCTCCGCCCGGGACCTCAAGGCTCTGGGGACCGATCAGGCTGTTGCTAAGTTTACTTGAAAACCTATCTGGCCCATTGAGGCTGATAACAAATGGAGGATGGTGCTTTTTTTTTCTTATTCAGACAGTGTTGTGGGAGGTGGGGAAGCAAGGATTGTCCAGTCCAGTTTTCCTTTCCCCTTTTTATACGAATTTGGGGCCAACGTAAATCTAATCTTTGGCTGGGGGGCTATAGCACCCCTTTCCAAAATCTTCCCATCAGGGCTGTCTAGCCTTCCTTATAGA